CCATTTGAAACGAAATCTCAAAATAAAATAATAAATGCAAAATGGTTATCATTGCATCAAAGAATCTGTCCGCGGAACATTTTGTTTCTCCCCCACTCCAATCCCAATCATTTTACGTTCAAAAGCATAATTCCCGCCGTATGTCTGGAACTAACGCCGACATTTTTTGACAGGTAAAAGCTAAATTTGCAGTGTTGAGTTTTAAATAGCTGCAATCTAGGTCATTATTTTATTGATTAAAAAAAAAACAACAACAGACGTCAAATGTGACGGGTTATATTGCTAGTATAAAAGATAAACATGGAATGGAAAGGAAGAAAGTCTACTCAAATGAAAATAAACATCCAATGAATACTTTGGCTTTTACCATTTTAATTTAAAATTAATTTAAATTTCTTTAAAGTTTTTTAAAAAGTAGTATGTTAAGAGAAAATTTGGACCGGAAGAGGGGTTGGGGGGGGTGCTGTGTCAAATTCATAGAAAATAAGACCCCTGAGTTCCCTTTGCTTTTATACTATAATTACAACCTAGAACATACACCTGATTGATTATTCATAAAAATAATTATTTTGGCTCTAATTGAGTCAATAGTCACCTAAATATCATTTATTAAGGCTATAAACATATCATCACAATGTTTCGCGGTTATCGCCTTGTGTTTTCATAAATAGCCTGCAAGATACCCCAGTTTTAATATCTAGCCTAATGCTAACACATTAGTCTTTCCGTACTGATGACGTAATTATTTCGTTCGGCAACCAACCAACCTACCCTCATACCCATTGATGGAAGGGACATTCTTTTTAACGGGGTCTCTTAAAAGTGTTGTTCTGGCGCGTCTCGACGGAGAATCGCAAACCACATGTAAATTGTCGCAAAAATTATAAAAGTAAACAGGTTTGCAATAGGCCTACTACATAATTGTAATACGAACCCGTGATACATGGAATCGGGTGTTATTTCGTCAATAACAATGTTTATGAGCGTGATTATGATGAATTTCAAGACATGAATGAATTTAAAAAGCCTAAGTTTTCTTAATTTAAAAATAAAAAATTTAAACAAAAATAATAATGGAAATTCTAACAATTCCTAGGATTAGACAATATTATTCAGCTTTGCCTTTGACAACATTGATGAGCATGATAATGATAAATCAAAATGATTATCACAAATGAAGGATTTGAATGAACCCAGGGTTCCAAATTTTTATTAATGAAAAAAAAAAA